CCCCCGGTACCGCGGCCTCTTCCAGCACCTGGGCCGCCTGGAGGGCGGGCTCCGCTTCCTGGTGGAGCTCAGGGGCGACCTGATGGAGGGGCTGGCGACCAAGGCGGTGGATGGGCCTCATGTCAAGGTGAGGGCTGGGCTGGAGGTGGGAGCTGGGACAGGGGGTTGGGGCATTTCCCGCTCGGTGCTGCTCCCGTGAACCTGATTCACCTTTGGGGTCTCCGTGGCGTGACACGAGCAAAGCCCCTTCCCACAGGCTGTGGCACCAGTGGGAGCTGGGTTGGCTGCCACGGGTCGGGAAGGGAGCAGCCTGTGGTGTGGGGCAATGGGCTCTCCAGAAGGCGGTGGCACTGGGATGCTGGGCTGTGGCTGTGCAGGGCAGTGGAGGAAGGGCCACAGTGGCACAGCGTGACATGGAGCTGGTGTTGTGGGCAGTGGAGGAAGGGCCACAGTGGCACAGCGTGACATGGAGCTGGTGTTGTGGGCAGTGGAGGAAGGGCCACAGTGGCACAGCGTGACATGGAGCTGGTGTTGTGGGCAGTGGAGGAAGGGCCACAGTGGCACAGCGTGACATGGAGCTGGCGTTGGGGACAGTGGAGGAAGGGCCACAGTGGCACAGCGTGACATCATGGAGCTGGTGTTGGGGACAGTGGAGGAAGGGCCATAGTGGCACAGTGTGACATGGAGCTGGTGTTGGGGACAGTGGAGGAAGGGCCACACTGACACAGCGTGACATCATGGAGCTGGTGTTGGGGACAGTGGAGGAAGGGCCACACTGACACAGCGTGACATCGTGGAGCCTGTGTTGGGGCTTCATCAGGAGCTCCCTGCAGGGGTGAGGTGCAGTGGCATGACTCCTGAGTCCAATGCAGGGCCAAAAGTGGCATAGCAGCCGTGTAGTGCTAAGGATGAATATCAACAGGAGAAAACAGTTGTGCTGATTTAGCTCAGTAGAGTGTAGAAAAAAGGTAAGGTGGATCATCCCCAGTGGTGCAAGGAGGTGACGTGGGTGTGGAGAAAGGAGTGCTGGAGCAGGTAATAGTGGCAGGAGGTGCCAGGACTTGCCAGAAGACAATGAAGGACAGCAAGTAGATTAGATACACCAACAGTAACTTGTTTCTCAGTATTCAGATACAAATTAAGTTTGACAAGAAAATGAGGATTTTTGTGTCAGTGTTGTCAGTTAACCCTGATCATCACAGAACTGAAGTAGCAACAGCATTGGTAAAATGACACATCCAGTTGGATCATCTTCAGTAAAAGTAGACTGAATTTGCAAAATTAGTAGGATAGCAATGAGTAAAACAGCTGAATGTACATGCACGTGAACATAGCATGTTCAGAAACATACTAAACCCATTTGAAAGAAGGAAAATATTGTCTGCAAAGCTAAAGCTTAAATAAAAGGGCTGTATAAGTGTTCTCATATGACTTTTTTGAAATGTTTGTATGACTGGACTTAGTTTTATTTTTCAAATGGGATATATGCTAAAGTATCACGCAAGCCAAGAAAGATGAAGCTAAAACTGGTTTGCCTTAGTTTTTGTGTGTGACCTATTGACTGTAAGAATTAATCCTGGATACTGTTTCATCATAGTTTGGGGTTTCTTTTAGGTCTTCCTCATGTGTTTTCTGCAGGAGCCAAGAGCTAGAACTGTGTGCTGCTCCAGTGTTCTTGCTAGTGTGTCTGGGAAAGGTGTTGCAGTGTGCTGCTAGGTGAGAGTCTTGCTCAGCCCTTAAAATCTATTTGCTTCTATTGCAAGTAAGCATTAGAATAACTGATCACCCAATCCATGGAAAGTCTTGGCAACTTCTGCAATGAGCTGTTTACCAGGTGGTGGAAATATTGTGAGGACGTGTATTCAGTTGGATACCATGAGCCATAGGTGTGACATACTGTACTACCTGTTCTGAGGCTAAACGTCAGGAACAGAGAAAACTCTGTGACTTTGGATGTGTGTTAACATGTCAGGATTCAGTATTGCATATGATGAATTCGTGTTTGCCTGAATTTCTTAAGGTGTTATTTTAAAACGAGAATATGTGAATTACCTGAGGATTGTTTCTCTATAGGTTTCACTGTTCCCAAATGATTAACAAAATAAATGATGCACTGCAAACTGGTGCACTGTTGTCTTCAGTTACTCCTGAGTATAAACATCTTTAGAATGCCCTTGGTTGTCTTTCATAAGTCACCTCTGAAGTTGGATTGATGTCTGAAGTAATGAAGAAATGTGAATGTGTAACTTACTCTGTTTCTCTGTACTGCATGATGTGTGCCTGGCTGCACTGTGCTCCAAAATAATGTCTCTTTGTTAGACCTGTGAAAGACTCTGAGCACTGAAGTAATTGAAGTATTTAAGCAGTATTTTAGGTATTTATTTCATCCAGTTGTACTGCCATGAAAGAACTGTGATCACATCAGAATTCATCACTGGATCAGGGTATCAACTCACTCAGGTGAAACAGTGGCCAAATGGAGAATCTAAATATTGAAACAGTTTGCCTTAAAGATCCAAGAAGCCCTTAGCTAGCAAAAACCTGAAATGTAAAAATATTTTCTCTGAAAAAAGTATTTGGTATTTACCTAAAAAAAGTCCTGTATAGCCATTTGATAATTGTAAATTTGATTTAAATTCTAACATACATAAGGGCAAATGTGCAACAGGAATTTTATAACCTGTGTGTAATTGTATCTGCACTGACAAGGAAATGCAGAAATAAAATGGAATGGATCTTCTTGGTGCTGGAATAAATTACAGAATGTGTTATATGGCCTACTGGGATTTTGGTTTTGCCCAGACTGTCTAAAATATTTCTTAGCCTTTAGTTTGTACTTTGCATTTTGAAAGACCTATTAAAACAAGGTTTATCCACTGCTGTGTTGTAAATATAACATATTTTTCTAGTTTCTCAAAACCTGTCAACACAGAAGCACCTTCAACTGTTAGATATTGGTTCATGAAGCATTTATATTTTGTTTGTTCAATAGATTACAGTAAAATAGCACATACAGGTGATTAAGTCACTTGAAAATGCTTGTGCACACTTTACTCATTTTCTAAATGAGAAAAAATGAAAGGAGGGAAGAGAAATATGATGGTCTTTAAGACATCAAACAGTATAAAAGGGAAATTTTCAGCACTAGCATTGCTACTGCAGTAATTAATATTATCTATAAAAAAGCAGAAAAACAATTCCCCTTTATTTGTCAGCCTGCTGAATCCTGGTTTGATGATGGATATATTTTGCAGTATCTCACCAAGGGTTTTCTGTGTATTTTGAAGCTAACTAAAAAAAACAAAAGCAAAGGCACTTTTAAAAATGGTGTGGTGTCAGACTAGATCTATAATTTGGTATGCCTGAGTGAAGCATATAAAGTTAAAAACTTAAAACATTTGAGAGCTATGGAAAAATTCACCCCTTGTGAGTCTTGCAGGACACTTCTCTTGTAGGCCTCTCAGACATCTAACCAGTCACTAATGATAATTTGGCCATTTCCTTGATACTCTTGGAATCCTGGTTGCTGCTCTTTCAAATTATATTTATCTGTAAATATCTGCACATGAACTTTCATTGCAAGGTAACTAGTTTTTTAGTAGTTTGAGAAGGAAAGTGTAATAGTTCCCTCATCAGAGAGGTATGTTTTCTTAATTAAAAAAAAAAAAAAAACAACAAAAAACTAGTTTTGCATAAAGCTTTCCTATTTGTTGCCAAATAAATAGGGACCTGATGTGGAGATTAAAAAGCCTGTAATTTTGCTGTCTTGTAGGAAGAACATAGAATTAAAAAAAAACAACCCAAACCCCACAATTTATTATACTCAGCTAATAGAAACCGAAGGAAAGCTGGTAATTTTAAGTACAAGTCTGAGTATGTCTTTGTGCTTAGATGTAAAATTGAGATGCTGAATAATAAATGTGTGCTCTTTTTTTTTTTCTTGTAAATGAAATGTTGGAGATGTAATTTTATTACTAGAAAGGCCTCTGAAATAAGACTTTCCTTACCAATAAATTTACAAGAGAACCTAACTTGAGACTCTTACTGTTGGAGTCAAGCCTTTCAGAGATTTAGAGGATGCTGTGATATTACACACAGATTTTTGCCCATATTACTTGAATTAAACACAGTTTCAGATAGCAAGAAGTGTCTGCACCAAGAAGTTTTGTTGATGTACACAGTTGCAGTTGGACTAAATGGTGGTTGTAGCTCCCTTCCAGCAGGAACTACTCCGTTTCTTCAGCCTGCATCCTGCCCTGTTTATAAGGCATTATTATTTACAACTGACAGAATATTTGAGTTGAGTTGTAATTCCCTGTAAACAATATTCCTTTCTTCCAAAATCATTACTGAAGTCACATCTGCTTCGCTTTCTTCTTTGGTTACACAGGCATTGCTTTTCTCTGCTTCATCTTGGACCTCAAGTAGCTCCTTGATATATTCTGCATCTTGAAAAGTAGCCCTCAGTTGGGTTGGCCATCATGGTGTCCCATTGTATGGAGCACGCCTGCTAAACCTCTAGATGCTTCAGAGAAGCAAAATGCATCTGATGCTTGTCTTTTCCACTTTTACCAGTTTCTGTGGAGTATAACTGGTTTCCTCCCAAGGCACTTGTTGCCATCTGAGCCACGTTACAGCCAATAGATGCAGAGCAGTGTATTCAAAATAATGACAAGCAGGAGTGCAGCCATCAGCAGTTTTCCCTCCTAGCTGCTAGACTGGAGCTTGAAACAGTGTTCCAAAAAGCAGATGGATGACAAGAGAGCCGTAGGAATCTCTTAGTTTGACTCCAGATCTGACAACTTCAGCTTGTTTTTCTGGCTTGCAGGGTGCCCTTACAAAAGAAAAGAAAACAAACAATGCTGAAATTGGTGGAGACACCAAGGGATATTTGCCCAAAATTATATACGGTTGCAGAAACAAGGATTCACTAGGGAAGTACCTTAAAGCCGGAAGAAACAAAACAATCAGAATATATTTGTTTAGGACACTTATACCTCTGCACTTTGAGAGGAAAAATAAATTGAAAAAAAACCATGACACACAAATCTACCTATGAGAGGTTGGTGCAGAATGTGCAGGAGTAAATAGCTGTTCTGTATCTTTCTCATAAGGGGCTATAGAAAAAAGGTTTATTAAAGTAGAGATGACTAATAAAGTATGGAAAGAAACTAAAAAAAAATTATTTGGTGAGTTGCTTTCTTATATTGATAAAGTAGTACTAAGAGTCTTCTTAAGGCATGAGCTGCTGAATGCTCAGAAGAGATTCAGTTGTAGAAAATTACAGTGAAATTCAAGTAATTATTGTTTGTCAGATTTCCCATGTCAATGACTTCAAACATTTTCATTGTTTTAGTCCAGTGTGAGGAAAGCTGAACTATCACACGGTTAATCTTCTCAAACAGACGCGTTAGTTTCCGTGAACGTCCCAGTGTTGTAGTTCAAAATAATCAAGGTTATCTTTACTCAAGTTCATATGTTGTACCTAGCTTATTTAGTAGATGAGTTCATCTCTCTCTGCAGGAAATGAATGGAGTTCTGAAGAACATGCTTTCAGAGTGGTTCTCCACAGGATTCCTAAACTTGGAACGAGTCACTTGGCAATCACCTTGTGAGGTGCTCCAGAAAATTAGTGAGTAAGTGCTAAAAGTTTTTACCTCTCGTTGATGAAAAGAGGATGAAATGCTGATGACTGCTTAGACCCCCTGTTTTCAAGATAATACTTTTCAGTACTGAACACAAACAAAGTATAATGAAGGAATAGTTGCGTTTGACACACAAAAAAGCACACTTTAAAAGCTGAATTTAAGTAAATGGTAAAGGGGATCATTTGTCCTGTGATTTGATCCTTTAGCTCACATACTGCACTTGTAGACTACTGTTATTTCTTCCAGCCCTCTCATTTACTCTTCCCACATTCCCAGAGGTGCTGCTGTTGATTTTCCAACAAACCCAGATTCCTGCAGCACTGCCTTCTTGCACTCCCTTTCCTCCAAAGAGGCTGCTGCTGCTGCCTCTGTCACCAGTGCCCCACAGAGGTGTGCTCAGCCTCATGCTGTGCCTTAGTCATAGAATCATTACGGTTGGAAGGGACCTTAAAGATCATCTAATTCCAATCCCTCTGCCATGAGCAGGGAACCCTACCACTAGACCAGGTTGCACAAAACCTCAGTCTGATATCCTGTAATGAACAGAAAGTGCAAGTGAAAACTCAGGTGTGTAGTAAACATATCCCAAAGAAAACTAGTCTGCAATGTACCTTTGCAATTATTTGGTCACAGTTTGCTGATGGATTTTACTGTTTCACTTGCAGCCCGATTCCCTTTTTTTGATTGGAGAGTTTTGTCACTGACACCAATGGGAAACGTACTGAGCTTGTAGGGTTGGCAGCTGACCTCTATTTTTATATGAAAAAAAAAAAAGTATGTAGTTTTATCTGGTGGTTTTTTTTTTTCTTCTTTCATTGAGTTCGGAAGCTGTGCATCCTGTTAGAAACTGGGTTGACATGAAGCGTCGAGTTGGGTCATATAGAAGATGCTACTTTTTCTCTCACTGTGCAATCCCAGGAGAGCCACTGATAGTCTTGCATGTTGCACTGACCAGTGATATCTCCAGCAGCATCCAGGTATGGTCACTGGTGGACTTAGTACACAGCAAAGTGTTTAAATTGCAGTATTTTTCTTCTAAAATTTATAATTCCTTCTAATTCCAGATTATTTTGTTTTGTTTCATTTTTTTAAGACATGAGAGAATTCACACTTAAAAATCACAGAGAGATTCTATACATCTCCTGTATTATGTAAGTTGAAATTTTGGAGTTTTGCTCAAGTGCAAGAAGAACAAGAAAATACAAGAAATATATAAGAAAAGATAGCAAACGAGATTAAAACTTCAAAGCCATTGTGGTTACTTCTGAAAGCTTTAAAACATATTACAATTATTTCCTGCACTTGATAATGGATAAGCAGTTCTTCTTTCTACTGTTTTATGAGATTTTTGTTGTTTCTCACAGGTTGTGATGAATAAAACAGTGGGGAAAAGTTTTAAAACATTTTAAAGTTAAAAAGAAAGCCTCCTCCTGCCTGATGATGATAGTAACTACTACTAACTTTTGTTTTAAAATACTTCTTTTCCCAGGCCATAGTGAAAGAAGTGCCACCTTTAGAAACAGAAGATGCAGATAAAATTACAACAGCAATTTTCTACTCAATCAGTTTGACTCAGCCAGGACTGCAAGGTGTGGAACTTGGGACTTACCTCATCAAACGGGTTGTAAAAGAGCTGCAGGTAGGTGTGCCAGGGTGTACTTCAGATGCTGTTTGGCCAATGTGCCCCCCTCATACTGCTTCCTGAGTTTTCATTTTGTGCCACTGCTCAAGACGAGGAGCTGCTGGGTCTTCTGCATTTGTAGCTTCTTTAACAGATGAACGTTTGAAGATGTGTAGAGTTGGAAGAACATTTTCTGCTATTGGTTGGTCTCTGCCAGATGTAGATTCTTTTTCAGAATCTAATGGATGCTCTAGTAAAAAAAAAAAGTCTGTACATTAATTAATTGCTTTTCTTATTTGTTACATTGAATTGCCACTGGTTATGTAGGCAGTTTGCATGTTTGCCTTGAATATGTCTATTAAAAAAAAAATTGTATTTTTTCCCAGACATTTCTTGCAGTATAGTAAGAAAGATGTTTAACATTTGAAAATCACAGGAATTAGTTACTATATGCATATCAGTTCTATGAATTTATATGATACTGCTGCATGCTGTTGGATTTCAGTTAATACCTTTAGGACTTCTTGTAGAGCTTATTCCAAGCAACTGGAGAAAGGAGTGAAAGTTCATTAACTTGTTTACAAAGTGGTGTGAAAGAGATAGTTGCATTTCTATGTTGAGTACATTATTTAATAGGCTTTGCTACTTCAATTATTAACAAAGCTGCCACTTAAAAGTAGTGATCACTACATGTGTTTATATTCACTGTTCTAACACTTGGATTAGCAGTGATGTCTGGAAAATTGTTTGTGACTTAGAGCTTCAATTCCACTTACAGAAATAACTTTAAAAAACCAACCCCAGATTTTCTACTACTACAAACTAATGGATTAGTCAACTACTGAATCATAGCTGGCTGCCCTGAAGTTTTTTATTTTATTTTTAATGGATATTTTGGCTGAATTTTGTTTCTTGCTTTTGGAGTGACTTTTAGATTAATTGTCTAAGGTGCAGTAGTCCAGGTATAATTAGGCTGTGCCATCTGTCTGATCTTGACTGAGGGGAAATTGGAATAAATTTGTGCAGTTACCTGCTTTCACATCTGAAAAATAATTTGTGGATAATAGAGGTGGTCTCATAAAACAACCTTATTGACAATGTATTTGTCCATCACTAAATTGCTTGCAACATTAGAGAAGTTATGAGCAAGTTATAGAGGAAACTAGATATACCATATTTAGATCACCTATCTGCTATTTCTAAAATTTGATGTGGCCAACAGAAGAATGTGTTTCTTATTTATACTTATGATAAAGTTATTACATTTCAATGTTGTAAAATCCAGCCTTTTGGTGTTCATCAAATACATGATGAACAGGAAGCATTTTGGCTGAGATGCCTTTCAGTACATTTTAATAATAAAATTATTGGCTCAACCTTAAAGAACTTACCTAATATTGAAAGCTAAATGCTTTCGGTAGAGTCCCAGAGATGGAGGTCTTCCTCCCTACTTAAATTTCATGCACTGCTTTAAGAAATTAAGAAAAATGTGCTGGTTTTGGTGAGATTTTATAGGGTGAATTGGATGTGTGCTTAGTTGACTATGAATTTGCAGCAAAGCTTCAACTACCTATTTGTGTTTATTTGGTATCTATATATAAATATATTCAAGTTACAACATTCCATTCCATTTCTACCCATTCCTTTTCATGATGATTACCCTTGTTGGGGTACCATTGTAGAGCTAATAACATTTAAAGGATAACCTGTGGTGGATGAGGTGCTTTAATAGGTTTTTTTTTTCCACTCTTGGATGTTGTTAATGTTTGTTTTTTTCTATTCTTCCCACTCCTTCATGCTTTCTTCCTCTTAATTATTCTTGAGTTTGTGCTGAATTCTGCTTTAACCATTTCCCATTACATATTTTACATCCGTGCAGTGACCCTAAATCATCAGCCTGTTGTTATCAGAATTATTTGGTTCATTTCTGTAGTGCCAAGCCATTCAGCTTTTGCTGGAAATGTTGTGAATCCTATCATTGTGGGTTTTGCCTTTCAGTGGAGAGAAGCCCCATGTATTTCAGCTTCAAAATATTTATACTGTGAAATTTCTGCAAAGTTAAATTGTTCAGGACAGTCAGGGCATATGGTGAGTAATACTTTTGGCAGCCTATTTTAATCTCACAAAATTCTGGAAGGCCTACTTCAGTGCATTAATTGCACACATGTGCTCTCTTTCTCTTTGGTCAGGTGTAAGCAAAGGACTTTCCAAGGTTGTGTGTGTTAAGCTTGGATGTAATTCTTTGGAACAGCATTATATTCACTTACTTGAAAAAGGATAAATGGTATAGCAGAAGTGCTGAGTTGACTCAGTGACAGCAGCTGAAACAATATGTCCTCAGCAAAAAAATCTTGGGTCAAAAATTAAATCTCATTAAGCAAGCTTCCAGCAGCCTTTGCAAAAATTGATAGTTGAGGTCTCTGATAGGAAGAGGACTTTTTATATAACCTTTGCATGGCTTTGCAATAAACAAATCTTTATTTAAAGTGCTGCTAAATCACCGAGTGTTCCAGGTTACGTAATTGAGACTCTCTTTAATTTAACTGATGAAACAATACTCTGGGAAGAGAAACCATTTGGAAAGGTGGAGGATTTGTTTTTCATTATATTTGGATCATTGATGATTAATACACTTTTGTAACTAGCCACTTGTTTAACTTTTGTGCACATTATTTGGTTCGTATTTTCCCAAGGCACTGCAAACTCTTAAAACTTTTTTTTTAATCCTCTAGTAAAAATCCTTTATCTGAGTTTGCCTTAACCTGCTGTGACACTTCTACTTGTAAGTGCCATTGTAACCTCAAAATGGAATTCTCAGCTGTCAGTCTTCATAAGGAATACTCCAAATTGGACCTGTCTTGAATGTATATTATTAGATCAGAAAAAGACATGCACTAAGTTAGAAATATGCTAGTAGCTACTCTTTTTTTTCCACTGTTGAAGGCTTTATTTGGCAAGATTTTAAAAATCTGTACTGAAACACTGATCTATCAGGTGTCTACACTATCAAGTTATGTCTATAAATTAAGTTAGTACCAGATTCCTTAAAATCTCTTTAATGGACGATTAAGATAGCACTTAATGTTTTAGAAATATTCTTGCTAATTTGCCGGTACACACATACTGTTTAACATGAACGTGTGTAGGGTTGCACTTCTCACCTGCAGAGTGTCAAATACAGACTCCCTCATGAAAGTGTTTCTTGCAAATGGGATTTTATTAGGATTGTTATGAAAACTGCAGCTGTAGAGGTTCCAGCCAAGATTTCAATCCTCAGTGTTAAGGGCTGTTAGTTTGAGGCACTGAACAGAAGTTAATGGCCCCTGCTTTTGAGTCTTTTCGCTAATTTAAGCAGATGAGGAGGTATGAAGTTGAGTCACAGAAATGGGTCCTCAGTTTCATCTCTTTTATGGGCACAGTTAGCAGTTTGACTCCTTAATTTCTACCTGTACATTCTGATTGGGTAAAGGGGAGGGATAGAGTGGAGATCTGAGTAGCACCTTAGGGATGCAGCTTGTGTTGCATGCAAAGGGCATCCTGGGAGAAATTATGCTGCTCTAAATAGGAGTTTTTTCTTGGTAGTTGCTTGACAAAAGTTTGCTACACAAATAATTTGGAAGGGTTTTATAAACAGTCTTCTGTTGTTGTCTGAGAATGCTTGGATTCTTTGGGGGCTAGCAGTGGAATGTGTTCATTAGCCTAATACCACTTTGGTCCCAGTTCTCCCTCTACAAATCTGAGAATAGGCTACCTTTGCATTCTGTGTAGTTTCTTGGTTATATTAATGTGTATGAAGCTGGGAGAAGACAACAGAAATAATCTCTTGTATTTTTTAAATTTAAGCTTGTATTGCTCCCAGAAATGAATTGAATTCTGAAACAATTTGAGACAACCAGTAAGAAAACAAACAAACCCCAAATTGGGTGCTGGGAAGCAAGCAGGCAGATGCATTTCTAGCAAGCTGATAGGTGCTGGTGAATGTGTAGACAGATAGATTTCTCATTAGACAGACATTTAATTTGGAATGTGTTTATAGCCACTCTAAATGGTCTGTAGCTCTGCAGAAGGTACATCATAGCAATTCAGTCTGCAGATGACAGACACAGATAGCTGTGGTGAAGCCTTTGAGAAAACTGCTTAGAATTTTATAGCCTGTGGCATTTGGGGGAGAAAACTGATAGCTGCTGTGTGACTCAATTGAATGCTTAACAATTGGTGGCAGATTTTAGCTTTCTGGTTGGGCTGTTGATAATTGCTACCTTAATTTGATCTAGGTGACCTGGGGAGATCATAATTTCCAAAATAGGCTCTGCTTTCATTGATGAAAAATGTGACCTTGGACTACAGCTTTCAGAGTGCAAGACAGTTTCAGATGGATATGGATAACAGGAGAAATCTGATGTCTTCTGCAATGAAAAGAAACAAAAATAAAGAGCAGTCAGACCCAGAAATCTACCCCAAAACAAAATGAGCAGCTGTTTCTTAATGGTGTGTGGGTTTCTGACAAGAAAATAAACATTAATGGATTTCCACCAATACCCTTAGAAACTAGCACATCAATTTAGCAACAACATAAATGTACTCATTTCACTGCATCTATTTATTTTTCTACAAGAAATGGCTGCCTCAGATAAGCTCCTAAACTCAAGCATTTATCAGATATGTAGAAGTCTATACTGTAGCTTCAAAATGGGGTCACTTTCCCTTGTCTTATCTGTTCTAAGAAGTAAAAAATATGCACCATTTCCCATTTTGTATTTATTAATACAGTAGGAGTTTCTAACTTCCTGATAAATATTTTGAGTTGGCCTTGGTGAACAGGTCACTCCTGAAAGTGAATGATAAACAAAGAGCAGTCAACATCACAGAGAAGCAAAATGTCAGTTTCTTATGTAAGAACTTTGCAGTGGTTATAGTTAATGCACAAATATGGGAAGAAATTGTTCATTCTCACTTTTGTCATTGCGGATGGTGCATTGGTACCATCTCAGCTTTGCAAGCTGGGAGATGAGATTGGAATTGTTACCCTATGGAAGCAATGGACATGACTCGGCTCCTGTGTGAAAAGCTCTGTTAGCTTTGTTCAGCAGCAAAGCAGTATTTTCAAACACTGCTTTCTTAGCAGAAGTGCAGAGATTTCCAGACTTGACTTTGTGGTAAGCAGCCTTTTCTCTTGGTTCAGTCAGTGTTTCCTTTTACCTGAAAGAAGATTTTCTTCTTCTCAGATGACACCATTACCTTCCTTCTTCCCTTCTCAGGTTTTAACCCCAAACGTTTGTGAGGCATTCATGAAAGAGACCTAAGCAATATGTTACAAAGGGACTCTTTTATAGGATGAGTGATACAGTTAGGAAAAAAAAAATAACACTTTTAAGAAGTATAAGCCCATTTTTGGGTAAAAAAGAAACACATCTAGAGGAAAATAGCTTCTGACAACCTTCTTTTTTTTTTTTTCTTCTTATTTTTCACCCCCACTGCACAGTGGTAGCATCTGTACTCCCTCTACCAGCATATCTAGGATTCCTCATTGGTAGGTCATTAATTTGGAAACTTCTACCAATTTATGCTTGTCTCTTGTTTTCTCTGTGTTATGGACTTTTTTTTCTGTGTATCAACTTCTTGATACAAATGAGGGACAAATCAAGTAGGAGAGGAGCATTGCTGGATCTTGTACTCACCAACAAGGAGGGTCTGCTTGAAGTGGTGATGGTCAATGGCAGCCTTGGTTGCAGTGATGGTGGAGTTCAGGACAAGGGTCAATGAGTGCAAACTGGAACATAGGAGGTTCCACATAAACATCAGGAAAAACTTCTTTACTGTGGGAGTGACAGAGCACTGGAACAGGCTGCCCAGAGAGGTTGTGGAGTCTCCTTCTCTGGAGACATTCAAACCCACCTGAACACGTTCCTGTGTGATGTGCTCTGGGTGATCCTGCCTGGCAGGAGGGTTGGACTGGGTGATCTTTTGAGGTCCCTTCCAACCCCTAAGATTCTGTGACTAAAGATAAACTTTAAAGGACAGCAAGGAATGAAGACATAGAAGAATAAAACCCCATTTTGAAATAGCATCTTTTGGAGTGAGGTTGCTGCTGTGTGAGGATGCTGACATGAAAAGGGTACTTCTCTTTATAGGTTACAGGTTTGTGTTTCTGTACCTTAAGGTTCATTTGCAGGTCTGTCACATCCTAGACAGTTGGTGAGTTGTCATCTATCATTATTGTGTGGACAGGCAGAAGGGTACTGGGTCATCCAATCTTCAGAAGGGAGCTGTGGCCTTCCCTTCTGGGCAGAAATTCATCTAGCTGCGGTCAGAGCTGACACGCAAAAGGTCAGAGGACGTGACTGCAGCCTGTCCCTGCAGCTGAGCTCACCGCGGGTGAGCTGCCGTGCGCTGATGGAGAAGTGAAGGTAGCAAGTGATGCTGCTTGTTACCATCTTGACAAAACTGCAGGCTATCAGCTTTTCCTCCATGAGCAAATATCTTGAAGCGTTTGGTGTTGCTTTGTTCTGTTCTCGTTTTTGTCCTTTTTCTGCTGCCAAATATTTTTATTTCAATTTACTGTGGTCATTGCTTTCTTTTTTCAAAAGCAAAGGGGAAACCTTTCTGAAAAGGCACTGAAATAGGCACTGCCTATTCCGAGGAACATTCTTGTAATTAAAACTTATTTTCTGTAGCTTTGGTAACACCACAACCATAATCAACTATTTTGTTTTATAAATGCTGTATTCTCTAAACTTGTGCAAAGAGGTTCTAAGATCAGTGGCTAATAGGAAATGCACATGTGATTAAACCTGCTAGTTTTTTATCACAGCTCTTGTTACAGACTTCTGCTGCAGAATTACTCTTAAAAATTAAATATCATCTTGTGCTTTGATAGAGACTTAAAAAAAGTCACAGGGGATTAACGCTGTACTAGTACTGCATTATCTGACCATGGCAGCAATAGCAGTTGAGAATATGACACAGTCAAGATCTCCTGGTCTCTTTGATCACATAAATGGTTGTTTTGTTCAGTAAGATATAGAAATGGGTGTTTTTATAAAACAACTTTTTTGCTTTATCCAGTTTTCTAAAGGAGGAGAAATGAGGTTTTGTTTGTAACTTGGTCTGTTTTCTTATTCCCATCTGGTCCCAAAAGAAGAGTTTTTTTGACTTGTATATCTGTATAATAGTCAGACAAGGGGAGCAAGTGAGGTGATTCAGTTTGTGCAGCTGGAAGTCACAAAATTGAGGAGGTGGTGGATCTGAGCTGGCTGGAAAGGAGTTTTATTGTGTTAAAACAGGTATTAAACAATCTTGATTATTTTGTTACTGCAATTATGTATTTCTTATCTTGCTATTTTATCAATATAGTTTACAGTTCAGGAATAGCATGAAACGTAGCTGGTCTGTATAAAGAACTTTAAAAATTTCAGGATGTATTTCTGTCCATTAGAATCTAGAAATTATACCACTCATGATTTTACAACAGACTGAAATAATAAACTGGCCTGGATTTAAAAAAGATAGTTACATATGAAAAATAAATTCTACTTAAAATGTTTTTGAAAACTTGTATGTTGATTAAAAAAATATTTATTCATCTGAATAACTACTTTATAGTGTGCAATTGTATTTGTATGTTTCTCTCTACAAAAAATGTTGTACCAGAATGCAGTATTGATAAGTACTTGTATCTAGATTGTGTGTGTGGACTGTAATTCAGTCAGTGTTAACATTTTCTTTGTTCTCCAGATCCTTTCAAGTCACTAACTTATTACTGGCAGGATGATTGTTGTTTGTGGGGTTTTTGTCTATGTTTATCAGTTAATTCTCAGAATCCCTGGTCTGCACTGATATCAGGTGAAGGGCATCAGTTGTTCTTTTGCTCAGCTTCTCATTGTCAGTCATGACAAAACCCATGAATTCTTTTTCTCTCCTTTTGTTTACAGAAAGAACTTCCTCAGATCAAAGTTTTTTCTACTCTGTCACCTATCCCAGGATTCACAAAATGGCTTGTTGGTCTCCTCTCCACACAAACAAAAGAACTGGAAAGAAATGAACTTTTTACAGAATCAGAATGGCAAGAAATTTCTGAGATCACAGGAGACTCTACTGCTGAAACACTGAAGAAACTCTTAAACAACAACGAGTGGGTGAGATCAGAAAAATTAGTGAAAGTGCTGCATTCACCATTCATGAAACTCTGTGCCTGGTATTTGTATGGAGAGAAACATCGTGGCTATGCTCTTAATCCAGTAGCAAATTTTCATCTTCAGAATGGTTCTGTGATGTGGCGGATAAACTGGATGGGGGACACCAGCCCTCGGGGCATCGCGGCTTCCTGCGGCATGATGGTCAACTACCGGTACTTCCTGGAGGACACAGCCAGCAACAGTGCTGCTTACCTGGGCTCTAAGCAAATTAAAGCCTCAGAGCAGGTTCTTTCCTTGGTGTCTCAGTTCCAGCAAAATAGCAAGCTTTAATTAAATACTATGAAAACTAAGAGCAAGTGTTCCTCACCTATAAAGAGCTGTGATACTTCAAAGTGTCTATATTTAAACGAGAATGTCTGTTGTAAAACAAATTTACTCAGCACAGCAGGATGCCAAGTTATCTAGGTTATCAGTTGTCTTGCTTTCATTGCCATGTACTCAAAACCTGATTTGCTGTAAGTTCTAGACATCTGTTACATGCAGATGGGTTGATGGTATGTGTTACAGGGAGAGTAAAATTCTCTCAATCAGGTACAACTCAGAAGTGGCTGGACTGGAAAATACTTGAACCATAGCATTATTCTGTTGGTAATAAACCTGTATAAACCTTGTCTTGGAAAGGAGTGGCACTGATTTGTCATAATGCCACTATAGATAGTTCAGTACCAAAGTACCTGGACAGAAGTACTCAATGAAGGTAAATTACTGGTCAAATATATTAGCAAAACAGTAGTCTATAATTTTATTTTAATAGTATTTGTATTTTTTCCCCTCAAAAATTCATGTAAAAGGTTCTGGTATTTTCCTTTTTCAAACGCACTAAATTTCCCACTGACTCCTTGCTTTGATGGACCATGGAAAAGCCTTGCATTACTACTGTAGAGGAAACAGATTTCCCAGTGTGGCAGGTATGTAGTGTTGTATTTGCTCTTTTGTCTGCTAAAATATAATGAGCAAGGAGGAAGTGTTCATATAGGAGAGGGAAATAAGACAGACTGATACTTAGGGATCAGTCGAGAAGTTTCCAAATACGTATATCATATTTTGGGTCCGTTAATTTTTTAAGTTCATAAAAAGCTATTTTAATAATGAGGTAGGTGTGACCTGCAAAACAATAAAATTAACTTTCTCAATAAATAATGTCTTGTGTGTTTCAGCATGTACCTTTCTTAACAGCCCTCCTTGACAGCAGTATGGTCAGAGCAGAAGGACAGTCTTAACAGAATTTCATGCTTTTTATTCTGTGTCTGCTCAAATTCCAGTCCTGTTTCCAAGAAAAGAATTATACAAAGGATTTGAAAGTGATAGAGTTCCTGCTCCTGTATGAAAACAGAACTGAAGAAAGGTGTAAGTGTCCAATTAGCCTTTCTCCTAGAATGAAATTACATAATTGGATGCAGTTTTTCAGTATTCATTATTAGAAAAAAAAAATCCCATCCTCCAAGCTGGTAACCTGCTATGGGAATCTCTCCTACATATCTTCCAAACAGAGAAAACCTTGACTTCTGTTCATGATAGATTTTGCAACACTGATAATTAAAGGGGAGAGCACATTCACTGCCTCTTACTCCCTCAAGAGCAGACATTTGCTTTTTCTTTCCTATGTAGCATGTGCGTTTTTTTAGGTTTTTATACAGAGGCCTAGGGTGAACATATGCACATACCTGTGCAGAAATTTTCCCCATACAATTTACTACAGGACACACTACTGCTGTTTTTAACAGTGGTCAGAAGATGGCTTCATTGTCCTGTTTGGTTTTCTAAGCTTTAGAATTCAGATTTCAAGGTGAAATGTAGCTGCTTGTATAAATATGTACAAACCATTTTTGTTTGGGAGGAATAGAGAAAGAACCTTCTCTCATGTTAAACTCTTGAAGTTTGAGGAAACCAGGTTACTTCAAATGAAATGTGCATCCACCTGGCCTTTTGACTATAAAAAGAGCTATTGTTCCTGCTTTATTGCAGATGGAAGTACAACACAATGATGTATTCTTAAGAGCTGGACTTGAAGGATACTGGGTTTTTTCCTCTAGTAGGCCCAAAAAAAGTCAGAATTTGTTCAGTGACTTGATGTGATAGTAGTTTATAAGGAAGAAAAAGCAAAGCTGCTCACACTCCATTAGCCCTTCGGTTATTTCCCTAGACCTCTGCCTTCTCATGTCTAATACACCAGACACACAGATGTGCCTTCAGCTTAAGGGAAGCAGGCACATCTCTTTTTTTTTTTCCTCCCTTCCAATCTTAAAATCAGGAAAACAGATACTGGCAAACCATAGGAGTTTCTCAAATTCAAACCTGTACCCTGCAGTGCCAGGACTTGCTGCTCAGCTGCTTACCAGTGTAGTTTAGTTGGCATGTCATGAACAGGACTACCTCTTCTTCCTTACCTCACCCCTATGCCTCATTTCTCTAGACACTGAATTACCAGTCCTGCATTAGCATTCAATTTAATTTACTCATATTCACAGGAGCTGTTCTAAGGTGTTTGAGATGTGGGGCTGCTAAGCAGATTACAGGCAGAGAGGTAGCAGCATTTTACTGGAGCTATTAAGGATGAGTACATTTGTTCATGACATCTGCATCAGAACCTTAGCACCTGCACAGGTATTTCCTTTTAAGTAATTGTTACTGTTTTGGTTATAGGTTGTTTTGCTTTCTGAGGTCACTTCATCTGTTACATTGATTATGTTGTTACATTGATAGGTTAACAGTTCCTTCAGTGAGTTCTGTAGCAGAACCACAGTAGAAACTGAAGTGCAAAAAGATCATTTGAAGATGACAGTGGGACAGGTTTGCTCATAAAAGCCATCAGCTGTAAAGACACCATGTGTCTGGAAAGAAAAAGTGGTGGCAGATTTCAGTGGCTCACATCCTCAGTGAGCAGTGGTAGCTGCTGTGCTGCTAGGCACAGCATATAAAAGCTTCACAGCTACATCCTGCTTTTGAAAGCAAATCAATAGATACAGTGTTACATTGTCAGTTATGCTTATATTATGATCAGCTCACACCATTAGATTTTGTCACAGGCTCAGGGCCTCTCTCTGTAAAGGTTGTATGGAGTTGAGTGGAACCGATGGGTAATGAGAGACGAAAATATTGCTTGAACAGGTGATACTCAGTTAATTTGCACCAAGTCTTGTTAAAAGAAAGGAGTTGGTGCTTCTTGAATCAGACAAACTTTGCACATATTTCACCGTGACTTATTTTAGCCACTGATTGTCATAAACTACAAAATGTGCCTCCTCTGGTCTCCTGAGTTCAAAGGTTTATTAAACTGGGTAGAGCAAGGTAAGTCTGATTCTTCAACCTCTTGATAAGGAAACTCCCCTAGAAAGGGAGAGATCAGTTATATGATCAGCATTCCAGGAGCAGTTTATACATTTTTAGCATTAGTATCTTTAGAATATATAAGGAATAAGCAACCACATTTACTGTCTTTAACTTTTTCCAAAAACATTTGAATTTTTAAACAAATCTGATAGAAAAGCTGGTATCTCAGCATAGTGTAAGTGGCTTGGTCACTGAGCAGTGAGACTTAAGTTTAATTTTTTTACTGAGGATATCCAAAACTGTTTTAAAAAAAAATAATCACTTGTTGCCACATTATATCTAATAAATGAATGCATTCTCAGTCCTCTTAAAATAAATCTGTACCAGAGCTGATAAGTGCTTCAAGAATGCTGAGATGCAGCACTATGTAATCTGACATGCTGGATAAGTTATTAAACCTTATTCTCAGATTGTAGCTGGAAGCCCAAGGACAGTTTAATGTGGGATTCTCTCTTCCAATCACTGTATTCGACAGGGGTTCCTTGTGGCGGTGCCTGGAAGCCATTACCCACCTGATAAGCCCTGCAGGAGAGGGTAGTTCACACAACACATGTCAAACCCTGGTGAAGTTGTTACAGTTCATTGGCTCCTTTGGATTAAACACCAGCATACTCATTAGCTGCTGCTCCTGGAAGGAGCTTGGGCAAGTTTCCTGAGGTTTTCTTAATTCCCTCAGTGGTGCAGGGCTGGAAGAGCAGCTTCTGGCATTTTAACCAACTTTTCACTTGTTACCAACAAGTGTTATTAACAGGTCTGGTATCAAGTCCAGATGCTTGCTGTCTGTACAGAGTGCTTAAGCTGAGGCTTAGAAGTCCCTTTTAATTTGGTTTGCTAAATGCCAGAATCTGTTTAAATACTACTATGGTTGAAGGCAATGAAGGAATTTTTTTTTCTTAAAAAGTATGGGTTTTGGGTTGTATTGATTGTTTTGTCACAGTGCAGTCTTCACAAATTAAAACTCAAGATCCATTTGCTGCCAAGGCTATAATGAGCATGTGCAAATACAGATTTGGAATATTTTTTTGAAGGAGTTGCATTCATTTTTCATGTGGCTATTTCTGGAGATGAAGTAACTGCCTGCAGGATGCACTAGCTCACTGCAATAGACCAGCTATTGAAAAACAGAATAAGGTTGTATTGCATTTTTCTATTACGTGTAATATTTGTCAATATCCATCTCTTCCTCTCTATTATCTCTTCAGAGTGGGTAGAATTAACAATAATAATCTCTAAAAGGCAGCACCTGCAACTAGTAGCTGAAAGAGATAGACTAGGCAGTTACATCAGTGGGATGTTGAGGAAATAAAATATATTCTGATTCCATTTTTAAGAAATAGCAATCAAACCACCATTTTTACTACAGTTGTTCAAGCTAATAGATCCTTTTGTTTGAAAGAATGGGAAGTACGAAGGAAAATTAAGGTAACTAATTTGCTGAAACAGATAGGCAAAGTTCTCCCCACAGTTTGATTTTTAAAACAGGCAATTCATGAACCCAATTACTGCAGATTAGGCTGGAATAATTTACTGAATCTTAACCAGAGTCAAAATTTGGGAGTGATGGCAAGTGGTAGAGAAAGGAAAAGAATGAGAATTTAAATGACCTGGGTTGTTTCTGCTTAATTACAAAGAAAGGAAATTATGCAAGAACTTTAAATAGAGAAAAAATCGTTAAATTACTACTGTTTGTATCTAAGAATATACTTAGGCTTGATGTTCCAGAACGGTATCAAAAATGCAATTTAAATATTTAAGATGTTTGCTCATATTTATAATTAAATATTGTTGTGGGTTTTTTTCAAAGAATATTCTCCTGACAAAATAGCTTTGAAAGTTCATATACTTTCATTTACTTTCACTGCAAGTAAAGCTCTCATAACGAGTTATGTTAGAGTTAAGAGGATGGCTTTAGGGAGAGGATAAAGTTTTAATTGGATTTTCAAATAATCATCTTTTGAATTCTAACTGAATTTCAGATAGTTCTGTGTTTGAAATACATACTACATCATAGATCTTTGATCT